GTATGTATGCAAGTTTGTATATATAGTATGTATGCAAGTTTGTATATATAGTATGTATGCAAGTTTGTATATATAGTATGTATGCAAGTTTGTATATATAGTATGTATGTAAGTTTGTATATATGTATGTAAGTTTGTATATATGTATGTAAGTTTGTATGTCTGTAAATTGGCAGTGAGATTTAAAAATTTGCCCAATGGGGCGCCACCTGAATTCTTGCCTACTGCCAATTACACTGTCCAACTGTCACAACAACCACAAGTCTGGATTTTATTGGCATGTTAGCATACGGTGGTTACAGAGGAGTTGTAGCAGACTGCTGTATCAGAATGTGTTGGGTGTCAGAGTCTAATCTGAGATGGGAGAACAAACAGCCACATCCCTGACAGCCTGTTTCTTACTTCCAGGCTAAATAAACCTGCCAGCATGAAGCTGCCTTGTCGTAAAGATTTCTTGTTTCTGTACCTTTCARCTCTTTTTGCAGCTTAAATCGAATCAGATTTGAGGAGTATGTTCCTGTGTTTGTTGAAGTTGTTGGATTCAGCTGATGTTGTGGCGGACCAGTGTTTTAGATCCTCTCTGCCTCGTTTTGTTTGGAGAGAAGGATGAAGGTTTCCAAACAGCTGGAGTAACTCTCACCATCGCAGACCCAAACGATGACGCTGCAGCTGTTTCTGCTCACCCAGTGGCTCCTAAAACCATCTCACAAAAAACTTTTAGCTCCTCGTTGTTTCACAAACTGGCCACAGACACCATGACTGTGTTTTTTTTTATCCGTCACCTTCTTGTTGAGAGCATGAGGACGTCTCTGTGTTGTTGTGGGCGGATTGATTTTTGTTTTTTTGTTTTGTTTCGCTGCAGGCGGATGAAACTTGATCCAGGGAGGCTTGTCTGTGCACTGCACCCTCAGGTTTGCAGGGATAAAACGGTCTGTGCAAACACTGCACTGCAGAATATTATTACAACAAATAGGGAAAGTTAGAACACTACATGTCCTGACAATTAGGATATAAATATGGAAACACATCTGGTCCAATGATTAAAAAAACAAACACGTTAAAATAGATTGTTTGTTTTTCAAACTTTTCAGTCTTTCTAACATTTCCACCCAGCAGTTCAAGGTTTTAAAGCACAACCAGTAGATTTTACCACATTTCTGCATTTATTTATAAAAAAAAATCTCACCTCAAGACAATAAAAGTTTATTATAAGTTTGACCATCTTTATTATGACCACCACATTTGAAGTGGGGGTCATATTGTTTCCGTTTATTTGCATTTTAAAATTTAAAAAATTTTCAAGATTGTTGGTCAACCGTAGCRTGGAATTTGACAGGAATGTAGATGCATCCAACCTACACTGCACCAGCCAACAGTTTTATGATAGACCCCATATTTGAGGAGGGGGCTTCATCTAAAAAGCGGGTGTCTTTGGATGTACAGAAATGCTTATAACTTAAAAGCTACTCAAAACAGGARCTTCAGATTTGTTTGTTGTTTAGCTCTGATGAAGGGCTATCCATCGGACCCACCAATAAGCCCCTCCCCACCCAACACAATAAATCTGTTCTGATGAGTTCTGGTGCTTTGGTGCTTTGCATACGTGCGGGGGTCATATGCTGCCGCTATGCAGTGTCTAGTTTCTTTCTTGGAAAAATAGTTTTATAAGAACAACATCTTTCCTGGAGGAAATAAATGCATTTCTTGCCTACGTCACGCTTCATTTTTAAAGTTCAGAGAAAATAATAAAACTATTCATGCAGGCATTTAATTCAATTAAAACTTGAAACCCAGAGGAATGTGTTGTACTGGTTTCAATTTTCCTTACAAACTAGTTTGATTTTTATCTTTCTTTGTCTTTTTTGTTTGTTCTTTCTAACCCTCCCACATTTTTTTTCAATTAACTTTTTTTTCAATTATTGTGTTTATTTCATTCATTCATAAAGCAATAAAAATAATCTATAAAAACAAGTCATACAAAATAAAAAACAAACAAACAAAAAATACAATAAAATCATGAATGAAAAGGAGCAGAAAGAAGTATAAACTTACACTCACCGGCCACTTTATTAGGTACACCTGTCCAACTGCTCGTTAACACTTAATTTCTAATCAGTCAATCACATGGCGGCAACTCAGTGCATTTAGGCATGTAGACATGGTCAAGACAATCTCCTGCAGTTCAAACCGA